AGGGGAGGAGGTGGAGCTGAAAAATGTACTCTCTGGTGTGGCAGCTGCTCCCAGCAACATCCCTGCTGCTCTAGAGGAGATGATCATGAATTGGGGGGGGGGGGGGGGCGGGAGGAGGGGGCACCAACCTTAGTAATGTTTTTGGATAAGCACAGAGTCTCTCACCCTGCTTGAGAATCACTGATGTGCACCATCCAGGTGGATACTAGTTATTACTGCTGTGAAGAAAAAGTTCCCAAAACTTAGTGGATTAAAACAATGAACACTTCTTATCTCATGGTTTCTGCGGTAGGGTGATGGAGCACGCCTTCACTGGGTGCCTGTGTAGGTATCAGCATGGGCTGCACGGAGGGCTCATTTCCAAGCTCTCTCTCCCGGAGGACACACTTCTTCACTGGCAGCTGGTTGGTGGCAGACGTGGGCTCCTTGCCACCTGATCCTCTCCACAGGGCCGCTCATAATGTTGCAACTGCTCCCTCCATAGCATGGCAGCAAGAGAATGAGAAAGGAACCTTAGGACAGGAGTCACAGTCTTTTTGTGGCCTGACCTTGGCAGTTTCATCCCTGTACTTCTGCCAGTTTTAATTCATGTGGAGCAAGTCACAGGTTCAACCCCTATTCGAGGGGAGAGACATACCCAAGTGTGCGGGTGACAGGAGGTGGGGTCATCAGGAGTCATCTCCAAGGTTGCCAACCACAGGTGTGAACAGAGAAGGGGAGGTGAGGCCAGGTGGGTTTCCTTCCTGTCTCCTTATCTAAGTCTTAGCATTTGCAAATACATAGACAAACATCTCTGCGCTTGCTGTTGTAGCAGATGTGTAAGAAGATGGCTATACATCTAATTTTTGTTCCAAAACAGAGCACAGAAAGAGAACACCTAGGAGGCAGCAGGGGTTCAGGGCGGCCAGTTACAAAGCCCACGCAAAACAGAGGCTCTTATGCAGCATGTGGTCTGGGTTGGGGCTCCTTGTCACTCCCCTGAGATCACAGTTTCGTGGGATTTATTATTATTATTATTATTATTATTATTATTATTATTATTATTGTTTAATGTAGAGAATGAAACCTTCAAGTTCCAATAATTGGTCTCAGGCATGAGTAAACTAGTAAAATATTTATATTTAGGGCCGGCCAAGTGGCACATTGGTTAAGAGCTGGCTTGGGATGCCAGAGGGCCCTGGTTCGGATCCCACATATGAGGGCCAGTGACACTGCCCTCCACAGCTAAGATGCTGAACAACAGCTCGACCTGGAGCTGGGCTGCCGTGAGTCGCCGGCGATGGCGTAGGCTGCAGCCCCTGTGGCAGTGGGTTGCCATGGTCTATAGTGTGTAGCCAGCAGCCGCAGTGAGCGGCCGTCCAGAAGCTGGCGACTGATCTGCCTCACCTGGGAAGAGTGCAATGATGGTGCCAATTTGGGCCAGTGGAGCAACATCCTCCGCAACTAGACTGAAGAACAAAACGACAGGAACTTGTCTGTTCCCCTTCCCCAACTCCCCAATAAAAATCTTTAAAAAAAAAATTTATATTTAACATTAATAGGCCCATTAGAGAGCTGTGTTTTTTTAACTTACTAAATGTTAACAATTGACATATGCACATTTTTAAAAACATGAACCATCATTTCTTCTAAAGTCTTTATATATTAAATTTAAAAAATTCTGTTTTTATTGTGATAAAATAAACATAACATAAAATTCGCCATTTTGATCATTTTTAAGTATGCAGCTCTGTGGCATTAAGTAATTCACATTGTTGTGCAACTATTACTATCATCCATTTCCAAAACTTTTTCATCTTCCTCAATTGAAACTGTACCCATCGCTGATTTTTTTTTTTCAGCTAAGCCATCCTGCCACCTGTTGGCAGCTCAACGGCTGCTCAGCTCGGGCCAGGCATCGAACCGCTGTTGCTCAGAGCTCAAACACTTGAGCTAGCTCTTAACCAACTGAGCCACTTGGCCAGCCCTTCATCGCTGATTTTTTACAATCAGCCCTCAACACTTACTGTAATGTTCCACTCCTTCCTTAGAAATCTTTTCTTTTAATTTATTTTTTTCAATAAGACTTCTTTTTACCATGGTTTTAAGTTCACAGAAAAATTGAGGGGAAGGTAAAGAGATTCCCCATATACTGGCAGCCCCCACACATGCATAGCTGCCCTCATTATTAACATCATGAACCAGACATTTGATACAATCAATGAACCTACGTTGATGCAACATAATGACCCAAAGGCCATAGCTGACATTTTCGTTCACTCTTGGTGTTGTACATTCTATGAGATTGGACAAGCATATAATGATGTGTGACCACCATTATGGTTTATACAAAAGGATTTGCACTCTCCTAAAAATCCTCTGTTCTCTGCCTGTTCATTTATCTTTTCTGCTCTCATCCCCTGGCAACTCCTGATCTTTTTACTGTGTCCAGAATGCCATGTAGCTGGAATCATACAGTCTATAGCCCTTTCAGAGTGGCTTTTTCCCTCATATTAATATGCATTTAAGTGTCCTCTGTGTCTTTTCGTGGCTTGGTAGCTCATGGTTTTCCTCACTGAATAATATTCCATTGTCTGGATGTGCCACTGTTTATTTATCCACTCACCTACTAAAGGACTTCTTGGTTGCTTCCAAGTTTGGGCAACTAATAATAAATATCCATGTTTTGTGTGGACATAGGTTTTCAGCTCATTTGGGTAAATACCAAGAAGCACAGTTGCTGGATCACGTGGTTACAGTATGTTTAGTTGTTTAAGAAAATGCCAAAAACTGTCTTCCATTTTATATTCCCACCAGCAGCCAGTGAGAACTCCTGTTCCCCACACCCTCACCAGCATTTCACGTTGTCAGTATTTTAGACTTTGGTCATTCTGATAGGTGTGGAGTAGTGTCTCATTATTATTTTAATTCTCATTTCCCTGATGACATATATGTGGAGCATCTTTTCATATATTTATTTACCATCTGTATGTCTTGTTTGGTTAGGGTCTCTTAAGGTCTTTTGCCAATTTTTTATCAGGTTTTTAGTTTTCTTGTTGAGTTTTAATAGTTCTTTGAATATTTTTGATAACAGCTCTTCATTAGACATGCCTTTTGCAAATATTTTTCCTGAGTCTGTAGCTTGTCTTCTCATTCTCTTGAGATTGTCTTTCGTAGCGCAGAGATTTTAATTTTAAGGAAGTCCAACTTTACGACTATTTCTTTCATGGATCACGCCTTTGGTGTTGTATCTAAAAAGTCATTGTCATTCCCAAGGTCATCTGGGTTTTCTCCTGTGCTGTCTTCTAGGAGTTGTATAGTTTTATATTTCAAATGTGGGTCTGCAGTCCATTTGGAGTCTTTAGGAAGGATTTAAAGTCTGTGTGTAGGTTCTTTTTCTTTTTTCTTTTCTTTTCTTTATTTTTTTTTCTTTTTTCTTTTTTTTTATTGCATGTGGATGTCTTGTCCTTCCAGCACCATTTGTTGTTTAGAAATCTTTTTTTTTTTTAAGATTTTATTGGGGAATTGGGGGAGGGGAACAGCATTGGGGAATTGAAGAAGGGGAACAGACAAGTTGCTGTCCTATTGTTCGTCAGTCTAGTTGTGGAGGATGTTGCTTCACTGGCCCATGTTGGTATTATCATTGCGCTCTTCCCGGGCAAGGCAGATCAGTCGCCAGCATCTGGACGGCCGCTCATGACGGCTCTTGGCAGCTCATGCTGGCTGCTGGCCACACACAGTAGCTTATGGCAGCCCACTGCAGCAAGGGCTGCAGCCTATGCCATCTCCAGAGACTCACAGCAGCCCAGCTCCAGGTTGAGCTGTTGTTCAGCATCTTAGCTGTAAAGGGCAGTGTCAATGGCCCTTATGTGGGATCCAAACTGGGGCTCTGCTGCTCAGAGCTGGTGTCCCAAGCCAGCTCTTAACCAACGCACCACTTGGCCGGCCCTAGAAATCTTTTTAAGTTTGATTCTTCTCCTAATTTATACCCTTTGACTCTCAGTCTAAAAAGTAACCATTTATTCTTCAAAGTCACCCAGAAATTAGAGATTTATTCAGTCTTATCTGAGAAGGTAAGATGGCTTATCTCCTTGACCCTTTGCAACTCCTCCAATCTGTATCTGGGTTGTTTTAATGACACCTGCAGGTTTCACTTATCTTAGCCTGTGGGACCTTATTAAGTCTCTAAGAATAATAACTAACAAGAACCTTAGTGTTTAACTGGGTCACACTATATTCATCTCCTTTATAGCTGATCTAGGTCTTTCTTTTCATCCTGATTGTAGTAAATAGACTCTTACTTTATTGTCTGTGGTCATCTATCAGGGTTCTTGCAGCATCATTTTCTAGAACAAAATGTCTACCTGTTGCTCTGGTTCTCAGCTCAACTTCCTGGTTGCCCTTTCCAGATTTTTCAGGAATTACAGGACTGTGCACCTTAGCCATGGACACATGCCTATCTAGATCCTTACTGCTTGCCCTCTCTTATCTTCTTTATTACCTTGTACCTGGATCTTTCATGATCACCCATCTTGTCCAAATAGGGATGACTTAGCTCTGGGTCCTGGTCATCATCGTTTTTCTATTGTGCTGAAACCCAAACTTACATTCTCTTAATTTCTTTAAGTGGCTTTTATATTCTTCTTGGACACTGAGACTATTTTGAGTTTATACAATACTCAAGATTACTGAATGTCTCCAGAAGAAAGAAAAACAAAGAATCCATTCACCATGTCCCCAAATCAGTTGGTTTTGCCCAATTTTGAGTCATGTGTCTAAATCCTAATTCTACATGTCCAACAGAGAATTGTTATTTTTCAACTGAATCTATTCTACTTCTTCTAGAGTAATAAGTTGTATCCGGGTGCACAGCTGGCTCAGGTGTACTCAGGAAGTTAGGTGTAGCCATGTTACTAAGTTCTCATCAGTGGAGTCTGAGCAGAAGTGAAATGTGCAAGTTCTTCCTCATTTTCTTAGAAAGTGCTTGTTCTAGAATTGCTCCTCACTTTTCTTTCTACTAGCTGAAAGTGAGAATGAGAAGGCACCCTTGGAAGCTACAAACTGAAGATGTCAGAGCTGCCCTACTGTCCAGGCCACATCTGGTAACCAAAAGTCCTTCCTGCCATGTGCCATTAGGTGACACAAAACAAACTTCTATTTTGTAGAACCATTGCCTTTTGGGTCTCTTTGTTTCATCAATTCAAACCTTAACTCTAATGAGTATAACATAATTAATAAAAATCCTATATTGGTCATTTAAAAAAACAGGTCCAATTTTTTTCTTATTCTTCTATAGGTTTAAATACCTGTTTAAAGACCAAATGTACTTAAATAGGAAATAATGAAAATTTCATGCATGCTGCAAAACAGTCACATTTTAATTTTGCTACTTGCTTCACTTAGCCATTTCTTTCTTGGGAGGTGGGTTGGGGAAGAGGGGAGACCTTAGGTGACATTTATGCTTCATAAGTTGGGCAAATAATGGGGGTCAGTCAATTTGATTTTTCCAAATATAATAATCATTGACTATCTCTCAACTGGCAAGACTGATTATATGCTGACCTGAGAATCAAATAATTTGTTCAAGAAATTTGATTGACCCTATTGTTGTCTCATGGGCAGATACTGCATCTGTAATACTCACAAAAGGTGCTTACATACTTCAGGCAGCAAGTAATGGGCAAAACTGAATAAACAAGAAGAAAAGGAAACAAATGTCTAAGGTATGTATAATCTGGGGCAATACCATTTTAAAAATTGAACAATTTTTGGAAAATGATGTTCATAGAAATATATATTTTATATTAATGGTTCCCAAACTATTTAGGGACACAGGCTACCCTGGGAAGGTAATAGAACTTTGGACCCTTTCCTGGAAAAATCCACAAACATAATTAATTGTGTATAATGTGAGATGGTTTACAAACACCCCCCAGCTCAGGCACATCCACAGATCAGAGTTTAAGGACATACTTTTCATATAGGAAAAATCAAGGAATACATACCTTTCTTCTATTCAATAATAACTATATCAAATCAGCATTTATTGTACACTAATTTGTCAGAAAAGCTGGGCCCAATGCCGAGAGACCTTAAAAGAATACATATGAGTAGGTCCCTGTCACTGAGTAGTTCCGTGGAGATACACACCTGATAACTGATATAATGAAATGTGATACAATGGATATGTGAGTACCATGTAGAGAAGACAAAATATTTAGATCTCCATCTGAAGGAGCTAGAGCAGGAGTCGGTAAACTTTTGAGACGGAAGAGTCAATCCTGTCCCTCACAACAATTTAAAAATTACTCGAGAGCCATAAAGCAAAGGAAATCACCATTATGTGAATAATATCCTTTAAAAATGTTATAAATGAAACTACGATAGCTTTATTTTCATTTTCGATTTTACTTCAGAGCCACACGTGCGTCCCCAAAGAGCCGCATGTGGCTCGTGAGCCGCAGTTTGCCGACCCCTGAGCTGGAGCAAAGTTTCCTTTTGACTTGGGTAATACTTGAGGGAGACCTGAATAAACAGAGACCAGATCTGTGGAAACAGTATTTCCAAATCTGGATGAGTACATGGGAGCAACAATTGTCATTATGGGACACGTTAGGTTTCATACTATTCTAATAGACATTTGATCCTCACAACAGGCAAAAGGCATGGGATAGAAATTGCTCTCATTTCCATGGCAGGCTCAATGCCAGTGTCTTCTTTTCATTGCCCAGCAAGCAGGGCCAGATTCAATCAGGTGTCTGCTACACTCTAGGCCACCATATTCTCCTAACCGTGAAACCACACATTACCTTAGATCTATACTCAGACAACGTATTGGAGGACAGTAAGGGGTATGTTCATTGTAACTGTTCATACGGATTCAAATAAGAAAGTATATGGACCAGGCATTTCAATGTACAATAACCCAGAGAAATACATATCACTTCCCAAATTTTATAGGTGAGGCACAGAGTATTTAAATCAGTGGCTCAAAGCCACACAGAAATAGAAGTCCTGCATGTGAAAACCAGCCTCTGACCCCCAGTGTACTGAATCTCTGCTACATCCACTGTCCCCCTGTACCTGGGGGACCAGATGCCATCTGGGGTTCAGAACCTTTATGACTAGTGCAAGAACAGAAATGGCTGCACAAGATGCAGACCAGAATTTGGATCCAGGTCTATATTGTGCTACACAAACCCAGACACAGTCATCTGACCAATCTAAGGAGGCAGCAAACTTCCCATCCCTATCCTTCCCCAGAAAATAGAAATGGAAATAAGCAGTGTGACATGAGGTAATGTTCATCTTCGCTGGTTAAATAAAAATGGATATCGAATATCAGATGAATTATAACAAGTTACAAGATCTAAGTTCAAAAAATCAGTTCCCAGTAATAAAATGAAATATTTAAAAGTCTGCACAAAAATTTTCTGCATAAACTTATAATCACTCTGCCTAAGGTCTCTATAATACAAGGCCAGACAATTAAGTTCACGAACTTGTTGCAATGATGTTGCTAACCTTTCTTTGATATCAGAGGGATTATTCATTATGAATCTGTACCAATTGGACAAATAGTTAACCAAGTTTACTATTTGGAAGTGCTGAAAAGGCTTTGTGAAAAAGTTAGACGACCTGAACTTTTTGCCAACAATTCACGGCTCTTGCATCACAACAATGCACCAGCTCACACGGCACTGTCTGTGAGGGAGTTTTTAGCCAGTAAACAAATAACTGCATTGGAACACCCTCCCTACTCACCTGATCTGGCCCCCAATGACTTCTTTCTTTACCCGAAGATAAACAAAATATTGAAAGGAAGACATTTTGATGACATTCAGGACATCAAGGGTAATACGATGACAGCTCTGATGACCATTCCAGAAAGAGTTCCAAAACTGCTTTGAAGGGAAGACTAGATGCTGGCATCAGTGCACGGTTTTGAAGGTGACCGTAGTGATATTCACCAATGAGGTATGTCACACTTATTCTAGGATGAATTTGTGAACTTAATTGTCTGACCTCATATATACATATAACATGTGGGAAATACAGTCAAGTTCTATAAAAAAGATATTCTGGACAAATAAAGAATGAATGATGAAGTATAAAATATAAGAGACACAATTCTGAAATTTGCACTGTCATACCTACTGAGGTGTTCCTTCTGTCAGTGTACAGTTTCAGAAGTTATCATGGAAATGATACAGATTTCTGTTTATTAAACCAACTGCTTCATGATGAATACTTTCAGATTTTCCACTCATTTAACTCACAGTTTGGGTTTTAGGCCAAACACAGCTATGCCCACACTGTTAAATGTACATAAATACTTGCAGCAAAGAAGCAAAGATCAGTTGATCCCGTTATCTTCCATGGCAGCCTGGCATCATTCTGGTACACACAGAAACATACATTTCAAAAGCTCACAGCACATGGCACATTTCCCCTTTGATTCGGGTTTCTTGTTTGTTACCACATGAATATGCCTCTCATATATTTTTAGTACAGTGCATTGTCTGAGACTGATCAGATGTTCACAGATTGTGGGGAGCCTGTGAAAGACTTTCCACTGTACTTGCAATTGGGCAAAACCGCGTCTGCTACCTGGTCCTCATGCAGAGTAAACTGCGATGTGGGGGCAGATGGTATGATCTAGCGGGAGAGAGACTCAGTCTGCAGAATCAAGAGAGCTTTGCTCTAGCAGGGGATGAAAGAGGAACGAACAAGTCCACCCAGCGTGAAAATAAGATGAAAATGTAAAAGAATGTCAGTGTTGAAAGTCACTCCTTTGGATTTTGCCAAGATCTGAGCACCAAGTGAGAATGTGAACATTCCAAGAAAGGCGAGAGCTGCAGGTTCTCCACATGGGGAGTGGGGCCTGACTGTTCAAACCACAGGGGTGTGATACAGGGTGTAATACATAATACTTTGCATGAGATAATTGGACAAACATAGTACTCAAGGACATTCTGCACTAGAGAATGAAAAGATGGAATGTTTTCACTGGAGGATGTTTGTCAACTTATAAACGACACTTCACTAGTTTTATATTCATGATGTTCTGATTTGCATGCAATCACTCAGATTGGTCTTCTTATTTTGAATTAGAAAAATCAAAGCAGGTTTCTCCTCACAGTCTAATCTTAACTATGGGTCAGCACCTTCCATGGGGTGAGACGAGGTTAGTCAAACTGGATTTTATTTACCTTCCCCCTACAAACTGCTACCCTTGTGCACTTTCTCCAAGATATTTACTTATTTTTTTAGCTATAATGCACATGCATATGCTTCTAAAACAGGCATACTGATTGGATTTTTAAAACACAAACACATCCACCTGGTAGAAACTAGTCCATTTCCAAGCAAGTCTCTGATATATTGATGTCTTTTCCCATCCGCCCAATTATATGCCCAGGTCACTCACAACAAAATATGGGTCATGGGCCAAGGCAGTCTGTCAATGGATGCAAAACAAATCAACAAGGGGAAAAAGACAAGTTTGCTTTGGTTATAAGGCATTATAAGTGAATGTGTACTGCTGAAACAATTTACACTTAATTAAATGTTGCTTCCTACAATCTCTGATGGCATGTATTACATTACACTTGGCAACAGAAGGCTGTTACAATTTCAGACTTGGCCAGTGGGCTGAGGCTCCTAAAGCAGGCCTGGCACGGTGAAAGCAACTCCAGGAGCTGCGGGAACAAGTCACCTTCTAGAAGGATCTGTAGTGGATGCTGACGTCATCCATGAACCCCCCAAAGCTCTCATATAATGGCTTATATACAACAGGCATTCAATAAAAATACACATTTAGACGACAGTCAACAAGGTCCTCAGCAGAGAACAATGAACACGTTAAGATGAAACACATTTGGGGCTGCAGGGTATCATTAGCTTCCACTCTTCTATTCAGGCAAAAAGAACAGCAGAGAGTTTGAAGAGCTGTTAACCATCTATTATTTGATATGCATCCTGCTTTGTTGGATGGTCTGGTGATGTGGAAATGACCCAAAGAGGTAGTGTGAAGAGTAGAAGAGCCCAGAGAAAGAGGCGAGGCCCTATGTGCCTGAGTTCTTTGCTTAGCTGTCCAGTGCTGCAGTTGTCTACATCCGTGCACCTCGATTCCTTCATCAGTGAGGAACGGCATGTTTTGTATTGCAGAGATGCTCTGAGGATGCATGTTCGCACAATATTTTGCTACTTCCTGAACCGATTGACCTTATAAAGAATGCTCATCTGGATTAATTATAATAACGAATGCCCATTGTAAACAGCAGAAAAGCGTACAGTAGATAATAAAATTCATCCTGGATCTTATCATCTAGAAGTAATTGATGTTTGCAGTTCACATGCCTAACCTAGGACTGGTAACCAGAATATACTTAAAAGCAAAATCAAAACACTAAATGTCATTGGAAATCAGGAAAATTTACATGTAAACCGCAATGAGATCCATGCATCCACTAAAATGAAAAACCAGACGCCGTTCCATGTTGGTAAGGATGTGTGGCAACTGCAACTTTCATATGCTGTGGGCAGCAGTAAAATGCTACAATTTTAGAAAAATCTCTCTTACTTTCTTTAAAAAAGTAGGCAAACACCTCACTTATAAACTACTGATTCTAAAGAAACATATGTCCAACCAAACTCTCACACAATCATTCATTACACCTTTTTTCACAATAACTCAAAAAAGGAAAGAGCCTATGTGCCCAGCAATGGGAGAATAGAAAAGCTATGCTATATTTCTATAGCAGGATTCCACTCAGCGATAAAAGAAGGCATTGCTGATATGTAGACATTAACGGGGATGAATTTGGATGAACCTCAAAAACTGTCATACTGAGTGAAAGGAACTTTTCCTACTTTTATTTTTTGTAGACCCTGTAACAGGTTGCAATCAAAGATAGGAACCAAATATGAAGGTCGATTTTAAAACTTTTGTGATTCTTTTAAGATGTGTAGTATTTTATTTATTTTATTATTATTATTTTTTAGCTGAGTCATCCTGCTACCTGTTGGCAGCTCAGCTTGGGCTGGGAATCGAACCAGCAACCCTGTTGCTCAGAGGTTGCACTCTTGAGGGTGCTCTTAACCAACCAAGCCACTCAGCTGGCCCAATATTTTGATTTTTTAAATTAATAAACTATATATATTTTAGAGCATTTCAGATTCACAGCAAAACTGAGCCAAAGTACAGAAATCTCATACACCCCTCTGCTTTCTGCAAGCACAGTCTCCCCCACCATCAACATCCCAGAGCAGACCGGGACATTTGTTATAACTGATGAACTAATACTGACATACCCTGATCACCAGAGTCTTTCATTGACATTAGTGTTCACTGTTGGTGTTGTACATTCTATGAATTTTGACAAATGTGTAACGACATGTATTCACCATTGTAGCATTGCACAGAATAATTTCACTATCCTAAAAACCCTTAGTGCTTTGCCTGTTTATCCTTTCTTCCAACCCACTCCTGGCAATCACGGGTCTTTTTATTGCTCCATAGCTCGGCCTTTCCCAGAATGTCATATAGATGGAAACATACATCAGGTGGGCTTTTCACATTGGTTTCTTTCACTGAGTACTACGCATTTAAGTTTCCTCCATGTCTTCTCAGGCTTGATGGCTCATTTCTTTTTAATGCTAAATAATATTTCATTGTCTGGATGTGTCACTGTTTATTTATCCACTCATCTACTGAAGGTTTCAGGGAGATTTGGTCTGTGAGTACCAGCTACTCTTTCTAGTAATATGTTCTGGGATAGGCCCTTGTCTATCTCTCCATTTTATCTATGAAGAGAGGAAAGGATGTGGGCAGAGAAACACAGGGCCCACAAAACCACGTTAACTGTTACACAAGCCCTCCACTCAGAGATTGATGAGCTTTTCAACTATTTTAAATAAGCAGTTTGAGAAGATGCTTTCTGTTTAGTTTACAAACCCAGGCTGGGTCTTTGGAGAAAGAAAACTGAGGAGGAGGATGGATAAGGGCAGCAGCCTGCCGTGCCCTTCCTCGACTGCAGCCCTACTGCTCACAGCACCAGTGGCCTTCCCAGCAAACGGACAGATGGCAATTACAGCAAGGTGATGCCCTGAAAGGTAACAGCAGAACCGCAAAGCTTTTCTCCACCTGATTTTCCCTGATCTGCCTTCCATCACCCTGTATCTCGGCTGCAAATACACCAAGGCCCGACCCACACAGACACTGTTTTTTGGTGGTCTTCATTCTCAATATGTTTTTTTCTTAATTTTTGTTAGCTTCCCTTACCCGGACCTTCCATGAACTTCTACAGGATGGATTCAGGAGCATACAACCCATCCAAGTTCACCACTGTGACAGGTGCTAGAAGCTTCTATGATCGCATTCTGTGTCTTGTTATATAGAGTAATGTTTTCTGTTTGTTTATTTTACTTCTAACTGCTTTTTAAAATTAAAAGTATTTGTCCAAATTGTCATAAATAAATAATTCCAGGATTTATTAAATTCAGTATTTCTCTTTTTAAAAAATGTGTATTTATTTTTACTTTTATCTTGTCAGTTTTCTTTGTCATCTTTAAGAATTTAGGAGGATTTGTAGGTTACAGGATTAATATACATTTTTTTTATTATTCTCTATGGGTAGTTCAATTTATGTAGAATTTGACACAATGAATTTTTCTCTGACTACCTCTTTGGACAGACTGCCTAGGTTTTAATATGTGATATTTCCTTTATCATCAATAACCTATTTTTATTGTTGATTTTCTTCATACCTCCAAAAAATATTTTGCTAATTAATAAAACATATATTCTTAAGTACTGATGGCTGAGGTATCAGCTCTTACATAAAAATTCAGAAACTACCACTTTTTTAAGCATAAATAGGAACAGAAAACCTACACGACACAGTTGAAATCCTATGAACGCACAGTTTTCTAAACAGTTGATTCTCTTTAGAAATGATGTTTTTCCATTTTAATACAATAAGCAGTTTTTCACCAGGGATCTGTGGCGTTGTATTCAAACAAGTCTGACTATATGTAACACCTCTGCTCTGGTGGCAACGTGTCAATCATTTCACATAATTAATTTCCTAATGATCCCGAAACATTTGCTTTATACCTGAATGATCTTATTCTAGCACCAGGCAATTTTCTGGAACATTTTAATTGTGAAATTTTCAGTAAACCCAAGCAAATACATTGTAGACAGTGGGGGAGGAAAAACTCAGGATAAAACCTTTTGCCACTGAAGTACAGAATATTTTCTTTGACAGAAGCAAAGTGATGTATTGCACGTCACAGCTAAGCTGTAAAAATAGCACGACCTTTCATCAGTCTCAATTATTAGAAGTAATAGCCTCAGGCTGAAACTACTTGGGAATCTCTGACCATATTTAACACAGGAAAACTACAGCATCGGATGCAAAGCGCACGGCCAAACTGTGCCGCGCTAGGGTTGCCCAGTCTTCCATTTATCATTTTTTTCCTGCTTACTCTGTGGCTGACATCTACTTATTAAGTCTTTCCCTGGGTCATTTCACACTGCTGAAGAGGCAAAGTAGAAATCCTATCAAGAGGCCTGCGTCTGCAGAGGGCTAAGGTAGGCGTTTTGTTTGTGATGCCATCACCATCTTATTAGGCAAAAGGAAAACTGTTGGTCCTGGTAGTCCCCTTCCTGCTGTTTCAAAAGTCCTATCTAGGGTGTGTGAATGCCCCAACGTGCAGGGAAATTCTAGGAAAAAATAAACTGCTATTCTGTGAAATGGTAGTATTTTTTAGTAGCTAGGGACTGAGCCTTGCCCATGGGGCCCAAGTATTGTGAACAGCCTGTTAACAATCTCCCAGGGGAAAAGAGGGAATAGGAGGAATCGCTTGGAGTGATGCAAGGAAAGGGTCAATCTCTCATGGAATTCTAGAGGGGAAACCCCCTCAATAGAGCAATATTTCTTTGCAAGGGCTAGTGACAATATGCAAATAGATTGCTTTTGATTGGGGATGGAATTCAGAACCTTTCCTTCCTTAGTCTTTCACTGAAATTTAGTGCTTTACTTAACTAAGAATTGCTGAAACAAACTACAGCAGTATTTGTGATACCTCTGACTATGTCACCAGCAGCAATCACAAATATCACATTTCAGTTGTAGAGCTATCATGAAATACTGTTTACAGCCACCGCTATTTCAAAAATATAATATTCTTGGACCTGCCACTAACTCTTGTTATATAATGAAAAATATACACATTATTAAAGCACTTTTTAATAGCGTGATAACTGTATTTCAATAAAATTGATTTCCTTTGGAATCCTTAGTATTTTATTACGTCCACTTAAAAATATTTTTCTGAGATGGGGTCTGTAGGCTTCACCCTACTACAGATTCCATGGCACAAAAACACTTAAAAACTTGTCCTATGTGTGTTTGAATTGACGAGGCAAAGCCACCAACAGCATTTCTGCAGGATTTGCATGTGTGTAATGTCAATATGCAACCATAGACCAAGCCAGGTCACTATCATGAACGCAGTCAATTTCCAAGAACTGTTTTTCCAACTTCCAAAGGTCTTGCTGCAACAATGGCATCTAGAAACAATGGCATTTAAAATAAAATCTATGTGTTTTTAAACAGGTCAAATATTATGACATATTCTAAGTATATAACCTACTCAAGGATGGAGACTTAACATAGACCTAAGACTCTCCCTAAGGCCCTTTGGGATGTAGAAAACTGGGCTTGGGGGAAGAAAGGTTAAGAAGCAGATTTTATGACCTTCATAGTAACTTCTGAGTTATTGATGACTCTCTATAAAGGAGGATCCTGTACCATGAACAACTGGAGGAGTAATGAGACCAAAGAGAGAGTCTGGGAGGGGTGGACAGTCACCAGGGGGACATGGAAGTGGTGGCCTGCATCACCGCAGCAGAATCACATTTTCCCATAAGAAGCCTCCAAATAATCCAGGTAGATACCTAAAAGGTAAGAGGCAGCTTGAAATGCCGGCCAGGCTCAGGGAACACAAAGCCATCCTGCGACATTGTGACTCAGGTAAAACCAACCTCTTATCTTTATTCTCCTCCCTGGTTCCCACCACTCTTGATTCTAAAGTGGGGGTGAAATCAGAAATCACTCTTAGTAAGGTGAGGAGGGAAACGATGAAGTCAAGACCTCAGTCCCTTCCTTGGCTTCCTTTCTGCAGCAGTTCCCAGCTGGGGGAGGCTAGAAACCTTAAATCAAATCGGGAGTTCTGCACACTAAATGCATGGAGACATTCTAATTTCTGAATCAAGATTCTGTTTGGTGACTTTAGGGTCCATAGGATGCATCAGCTTTGTCACCTCACAGCTCAAGCAGAGAAATTAGAATCCTTATTGAATTTTAAAGGGACAGTAGTAAGCAAAATTAAATGAGGTGATAGTTACACCCCATGGGTCTGTATGTTCAGTGTAAACTTTATAATAGCTTTTGTCTCTTTCCTCATATACATAAAACCTCTACACCGGCTGTTACCATAGGCAAAAAGAATAGGGCCACAGGGACAGAGGGGGCAGGAAAGGAGGGAGGAAGTGAGGGAAGACAAAGGAGGGAAGAGATGAGATTTCCTAAGGAAAAAATGCAGCTACCAGACCAGCCTGAACTAGATTTCGGTGGCCGAGAGCAGTTCCAGGATGCCATCTTGTCCCTCAAGGTGAAGTTTAGTTAATTATAATAAATCATAATGTTATTAACATTGTGGTTAGGTAAAATCTGCACCCCACCCTGTGTCTCCATGACACTTCTGACAGAGCCAAATAAGGACACAGAGCCCTTCTCCAGATGCGAAGGAATGGTCAGCGAGGATCTGCCTAAGAAGGACAACACGCCGCCCCTAAGTCTTGAACACTCTGTGTCTTCATTTTTAGTTGGAGGCTCATTGTTCTTTGCAGCAGCAGCTCTTCTCTGGCCTTGCCCACTCTTGCCATCTTGAGAGTGTGCTACCTTTTTAGTAAATCTGCTGCCTGCAGGGCTTATTGGGTGCATCCTTGACTTCTTTCTGGTGACATACACCAAGAACCCGAATGCCATGCCCACAACACGGCCAATTTCGCCTTAGCAACAGACCCCCCCCCCCAAGTCAGGCCCTGCCTTCCACATTATTCTTGCCTGGAGAGCCCTTTCATCTCATCCCAGTGCATGGTGAACCTCACCCACCCAGGTGGTCTGGCTCAAATCAATTGCTTCCGCAATCTTTGGTTTAACTGTACAGCCCACATTGATAGTTAGCTCCAGCTTCCTGCTACCCTTTACATGACCATTTATTTAACTTATCACCATTTCTATTTTTACATAAATTTGCACCTTTATATCTATGATTTTCAATGAACTGAGGACTCCCATGAAGTTGTATATCTCTGAGCTGTACATATATTAGATACATAAGCAAATTTAGTTTTAATGTATTCTGCACATACCTTATATATGCGTGTCACTCTCCAAAGCAATTATTTTTCACCTAAAAATTTTTAGCACCTCGGCTTTTTTCTTTATTGCGTGCTTGCCATCCAATACTTACAAAATTGTTGTCAATCTTTTCCTAAAATAAACAATAAATCATGTTTTTCTTGATTTATTTTCTGAAATCGTGGTCAAATTCTGGTCTTAGGAAACCTGGAGGTCCGTTTCTTATCATTTGAAATATAAATGCAAATAAAACTTTACCCCCAATCATATCTGTATATACAGAACAAAAATCTGGAAATAGTATCTGTTATATGTAAATATTCTAGGGGTGTGCTTTAAAGAAATCTACCGGTTTTATTTAAAATGCTTGAAAGGTTGGAGGCAACAAAGAGATGTCTCAAGGGTCTTGTGTATTTTAGAGAGGAATGTGAAGAATGTGGACTTCCCAGCTTGTAAAACAATAACTTCTTTGATTGGATGTTCGCTTGTGCTTTGCCTGGCATTTTCTGTTTTTAAATCCAAAGGTAAATTTAACTTAGGGAGGAGATATTTCTGTTTGTCGGTTTCAAAGGTAATTTGTTTTGTTTTGTTCTTTTTTCTTTTTTTTTTTTTAAACCAGTAAATCTTTTCAAATTTGAACTCTACTCTTGTTTACCACTGTGGTGTTTAGAGGTTAAAAGTTTGTAACAGCCCCTTCTGGATCCCTGAAAAGTGGGAAACAGAAAAAACCCTTTGGGAAATTCTCTTGGTAAAACTCTTGTTAATGATACTAGCTAAGGCAGGTTATGCTTTTTAAAACATGCTACTACTCTGTATTTTCTTGTCATAATAAAAGTAGCTGCCACCAATAAAATGTTCTCTTGCTATTTGATCAAACATCTACAAAAAGAATGTTCCATTTCTGAACTCACACAAGAAAAATGTCCATGTTTTATGCCTTTCCAAATTGCTTACCAATCATCA